ACGCCCCGCCACGCCCCGCCACACCACGCCCCGCCTCTGAATGGTGCGGCGGGGACTGCACGCTGCACGCGTGTGTGAGCGCGTCCGTCCATTCATTCGCTAACCGCGGCGCCCCGCCCCGCCTCGATCAGACAGACACGCGGCTACAAGTAGCTGTGTGACCTTCAACTTGAACCAGAGCAGCAGCGGTAGCAGCAGCGCGGCGCGGAGCGGGCCGGTGGGAGGGGGCGGGGCGGAGCAGCGCAATGCCGTGGCCTAGGTCAGTGCCGCTGTGTGGTCTCCTCCAGCTCACCGGCGGCGGCCTTGTTACTGTACCGCCTGCATCCGCCCGCGAAGTTTGGTCTTCTTTAACGCGAACGCGAAAGTGAAAGGAGGGACAAAGAACCTTTTTGTTTTCCTTTCTATTTTTTACCCCTTTAATAATAAAGCCCTGGACGTCAATAAATTCACACGTCGATACTATAGTCGTGGCAGGTTATTATAGTGTGCCCACGCTAAGTCTATTGGAATGTCGACGGGGGCTCCCGCGGCGGGGCCGGCCGGGCGCAGCAGCCGGTGGCCCGCGCGCCTCTGGGGCCACCCCGCCCCGCCACGCCCCGCCACGCCCCGCACTTGGCACCCCGCCAGGACCGGCGGACCTCCCGGGTGTCGCACGCCCCGCGCCCTGCGCCCCGCCACGCACGTCCATAATCAGCTAAACTGTTGCAGAATTAGGCCTGCAATAACAGCGCGCGTTTAGCATAGTTGTCTTCTTGTCTCCCCGTTAAGAGTTAGCGGCTGTAGTCGTTCGTTCCAGACACGAGTTCTCAGCGTCACACAAAAGCAAAGCAAATGATAATAATAATAATGGTGCTGATCCTGATCATTCTAATGAAACTCTCTGCGCCGTCTGGACTCAGTAATAACACGGATTTCGAACGCGGCCAATTAGGACACGGCGGATACTCCAAGCAGCTCCTAGGAGGGGTTCCCGGCTGCGAGCTGCGGCTCAGGACGGACGGGGCTCCTGGCGGGGACTCTTAGCGGTCCGGCCCGCCCAGTTCACACGGGATGGAGTGGCAGACGGGCTCCAATTGGAGCGGCGCTCACTCTCACTCGCACAGCCGGCACAGCCGGTGTGCGGCACACGGTATTGTGCGGTCAGCAACACATGTGTGATTGTGAAGATGCGTCCCGCCATTTTATTCATGTATACAAACGCGTGTGCAAAAGAGGAGAGAGGGGCGGCGCGGAAGTGGTTGGGCAGGAAGGAGAGAGAGAGAGAGGTGACCGTTTATAATTATCGGTTTTTGGAGAATATATTAATTATGGCTTGCTGCCCCGCGCGCCGTTACACCCGGCCAGGCCGCCGGGCCACGCATACGGAGCCCCGCCATGGGCCAGGCCATGGGCTGCCATGGGCGGCGACCAGACCGCGGACCAGGCCGAGATGCCTCGGGCCATGATGCGGCTCCAGGCGCCGGCCCGCTCCGCGCCGCTCAGCGCCGCTCCGGCCCGACCCAGCAGGTTTGACGGGCCGCTTCGCGTTTGGTAGTCCGCACGGCTGCCCGGGCCCGGGCCCCTCCCGCTGATGAATGTCGAGGAATTTGTCGAGCCCGAGGAAACGTTAACACAACTTGTGAACGAGACTCACTCTCTTCCCCCCTCTCTCCTCTCTCCGCATCTATTTCATACTCTTTTCTCTTCCTTTCGCTGTCTTTCTCTCCCGCCCTTTCCCAGCCCGTGAAGATAGATCCCTCGCTGTTGACGTTTGACATATGCGACACACATCGCCGTTTAGCATTTTTGTCGTCCCGGAGGGAACACTGACCCGAAGACGGTTAGATTATTAAAAATTAGGTGGCCATTTACAAAAAGACAAAAAAGAAAAATCAAACATTTTTCACGGTGTGATTGTCGGCGAACGAACAGGCGGGTATATGATAGCATGCGGGCGCCTCCACTGACCCACTTCCTGGTGAAAGAGTGAGAGAAAGAGATGGGCTGAAACAGAGAGTGAGAAGAAGGAAATGGAGAGGGAGAGAGAGAGGGTGTGTGTGTGAGAGAAAGAGGGAGGGAGAATGGAGAGAGACAGAGAGAGATGGAGGGGATCAAAACCGGATCGCGCCAAGCGTACCTGCTGCGCCGCTCGAAAGAGCAGGGAGAGAGAGAAAGAGGAAGCAGGCAAATCGCACGAGTGTTCTGATAATGACGCCCGATCATGGACCGGAGGAGGAGGAAGAGGAGGAGGGGGGGGGGGGAGAAAAGAATTCCACTTTCCTCGTCCACACCTTCTGTCGTCCCCCCATTCATCCTATGCCCCGCCGGCAACGCGTTGTGCCTGCTGCCATAAAAAGGGAAGGACTGCGAGGGAAATATTAGCGGCGGCCGTTCTCCTAGCACTCTCAAAGATTTCTTATCGAAACCGTCTTGTGATGGGACTTTTTAACGAATTTGAACCTTGGAAGCTAGTAACAAAATACTCCAGAACTATATCAAAAAATCATTAAGACAACTATTTTGACAGACCTCAAACCAATAAGTCAACTATAGCTTATTTCATATCTAAATTGCGTCGGCTTTTTTAAACATATGTATTTTCTGGGTTGAAATTTTTTTGCTGATGTCTATTACGAATATTGTTCATGCTTTTTAAAAGAAACTTGTTACATAATCGTGCAAGCAAAGGAGTGAAAATGGAATGTTTGACAATTTTTTACGACCAATATGTTGCCACTTATCCATGCCTAAGAACATCGGTACAGCTTAAAAACAGACGTGTCTCGCAAGGCAGGCGACAAAACTGCAAGGCTTGCACTAATTTACTTTTAAACAGGGAGTGGAATCCTCCCTGTTAACACGCACTTCCCAAATCTCTCCTCTCCCGGGTGTTCCGCACGCGGCGAGAGCCACCACGACAACGCTCACACCTGCCTGAACAAGTGGGGTGCAGCAGTTTGGGCGCGGCGGCCACCTTCCTTCAAGCCGCAGTGACTTACTGGGATGCACTTGCAACAAAACAGCAACAACAACTAGACTGCAGAACGTTTCGACGGGAGCTCTCACCGCACCCTAATTGGAGGCAATCACGCAAGGATGACTGCTGCCCCCCCCCCTTTGCGGATTTTCAGGCTGATTCCCGCACACAGTGCGCATGTGCGGTGGATCTGTGTTAATAACCCTTGATTTGACGCGTTGGCAGCCCTGCGCGCCGCCGGCACTGCACGGCAGCAGCGAGACTGCAAGAGAGGCGATGTGCGCGCGCTTCCACTATAATGGCATCTTGGCTGCCTTCCTTTTTTTTTCGAGCGGGATCGAGCAGGGAATGCCTTCTTTTCCCGTCGTAAAGTTGACTGCAGAGGCGAGCCCCCTACGGCTGCTGCTGCTGCTGCTGGCCGCGTAGAGAAGAGAAACAGTGAGCGGCAGGGGAGGCGCGGGCCGCCGGGGACCGCCGGGCACACCACCACCGAGGGCATCAATCACAACCCGCGGCGGCGGCCTCGCGCCTCGCCGGGGCAGCCGAATGCGTGCGGCGAGGAGGAGGCGCCTCGAGGATGCCGACGTAATTGCAGTTATGGAAATTATAATTGTAATGAACATGCTTTGTTTTGCTTAAGCAGAGGCATAATTAGCGCCCTGGCGAGAGCTTTCCCCGTCGAAACCAACGCGCGCCCGCCGGCCGGGCCGAACGGTCCTCAGAGACCTCTACGCGCGAGGCATACCCAGCCGCTGACCGCCGCGCCCTCCGCCGCGCCC